CCACACCGAGCTTTCTCTCCAGAGCATGGTATTTCATGGTGGATGTAGATTCAGAGCTGACGTCCCACACCTCTGTAGTGTCTGGCAGTGAAACACCCTGTCTGTCCTGCTCTCAGGGGTGCAGGGACAGGGAGGATGAGCAGCCACCTCACTGTGGTCACTCCCCCCTGTAGCTGTGCTCCAGCCACCTGCCACAAAGGTGAAGTGGTGTCGGACAGTTTTCCACCTTGGGGTGGGGCTATGATGACTTGAGGAAGGCCTGGAGGAGCGAGGGAGGGAAAGAGAGGGCAGAGTTCTGTGGAGCAGAAAAGGCTCCTCTGGAGTTTCAGTTTTCAGCAGCAAGGTCTTGGCTGTGAGGGTCTAATGTGAGCAAATGCTGGCAGCAGGGATGGCTGATGCATCTCTGTGTGCTCGTGCATCTTCAGGAGGCAGTTTTGGCCACACCACAGGAAGAGATGATGGGGTGGTAGCAAGCCAGTCACCAGGTACCTGGGCCACACTCCAAGAGAAGCTTAAGCGGATGGGTTGGCAAAATCTAGGGAAGCTTGAGCAGCAGCATAGGGGAAAAGAAGCAGCTTGGCCAACTGGGTCATGCTTTAGTCTTTTGGATCTTTTGAAAAGTTTGAGCTGGGCAGTGGGGACCACCTGTGGTTCAAGGTAGTGATCAATCAGATCTCTTCTGCCTCTGCCTCTCTCCTCCACTGTTGGGTGTTTGGGCCTCCTGCTAAAGAGGAGATTAAATCCTATAAAAGTGTTTGGTATAGGTTTTTTTTTCCCCATCAGAAGAGATTTTCCTCTCATTTTGATAATCTACTTTTGGTGTGATAATTAACACTGTGTGCTATGAGTGAACATCAGTGTACTCTTAACAATAACTGGAGGTCAATTCATCAAACACAAATCTCTATTTAAAATGCAGCTTTATCATCATAGCAAAAATATTGACTATAAGTGAGCACCATGAAAAAATAAGAAGAGAGATGCTCCCTGCTTCATCTCTTTCCAGTCCTGATTACACTTTAACCAGTTTGCCACTTGATCTTCATCCTTGGAATAATCGTGCTAATATCAGTATTTCTACTTAGCTTAAAATAAAGTACCTTCTAATGCATATAATACTAATGATCACTTTCTGCATTCAGATGAAGCATTTGCTTGCTCAAAGCATGTTGCCAAAACCTCTTCCATTTATCAAAAGGCTGGCAAAATCCCTTGCTCCCATGAAAGGTGACATGGTGGCCCTTCTTCCAAGTAGGAGCTAGCAAAGGGCAAGTCCACGAAGTTCTGTGAGTTTGGCTTTTGAGATTATGGAATCTTATACATTAAAAAGAGCTCTAAGATCACCAAATCTGACTGTTAACCCAGCACTGCCAAGTTCCCCACTAAACCATGCCCCCAAGAGCCACATCTATTAAATTCCTCCAGACACGCAACTCAACCACTTATCTGGGTAGTCTGTTCCAATGCTTGACAAGATGATGAAAGTTCGAATAAGGAGCTGGCTTTGACTTTAGCCTTTGGAGATGGCACAATTAGCTTGGAGGTTCAGATCATGGTGGTGAAGACACTGCTTCTGCAGCAGTTCCCCTGCCTCTGGGAACTGGCCTTTCCTTTCTGAGGTAACCGCAGTGATTGCAGAAGAGGCAGCGGGTGATTTACAGCAGCCTGTGTGAGAAGAGAACAAGGATATGCATCTGCAAATAAACGCTAATGAGATGTTAAGATTATGAAAAGCCAGGAAATTCCAGAAGTTGAGGCTGCTACAGCATCATTAGTTCTCCTGCAGTGCTGTCCTTATCCGGCAGGGAGGGGCCTGGGCATACTCCCGGCCAGGCTAGTGCCACTGAGCTAAAGGCAGGCGGCCTCCCTGATCGATTGCTTCCCTGCAACTGAAGGAATTACCCCTATGCTGGGCAAAATGACACCTCGAACAGGATGAAGCTGTGCTGGGAAAACAGAGGCTGTGCATCACCCCAGAGGCAGTGCCAGGAAGCCATGTGACTGGTGGCAACTGGGGGATGGGGTAAACAGCACTTTGCCTCATCTTCAAACAGTTATAAGTGAAGTCTCACTGGTTGTGATCCCTATCATTGCAGAACTGCATCAGCAACCAAATTGTCATTGCTTTCAGCATGTGATCCCTTTGGATGGGGAGTATGAGGGAGGAGGAAGGTCTATCAGCTGTCACAGCAATCAGAGCAAAAAAAGGACATACTGAGTGAGTTCCACAGCGAGCAGGGGCAGACAGGGCACATGCAACAATCAATGGCATGGTTTTTCAGCAGGATGGTAGTGAAACTGTGCTTGGGGCTGGAAAAATGTCTGGTAGGGATGAGAGATGGAGATGTGACAACCAACTCTGTCAAGAGCTCCTTTAATTCTTGGCCCTGTGTGATGAAACAGCCCTGGATGTGCCTTGGTGTTGGGTTTTACAGCCTAACACTTTCTGTGACCTGTGCAAACCTGGCAAGCATGTCTTTGCTTGCAGAATCCACCCAATGCTGAATAGCAGTATCCTTGGTGAGGGTTTTAATGTTCAGCCCCAGCCAATGGTCCCGCCAGCAGACAGCATGGCCTGTGCAAAGACGCAGCCTCAGGACATAACCTCCTTCTCCTTTGGTTCCACATAGTCTCTTAGAGAAGAATTATTGCATCCTACAAGACCTTCTCCTGACTTTCTGTTAACCTGTTACCCAGGCTTGGTTGAAGACCAACTTCATGTCCGAGAAGAGAAATGGCTCAGCAGCCAGAGGGGTGTCTGTTCTCTGCAAAACAGTGAATGGAAATATTTGACTTAACCTGACCCACAAATTGAAAGAGCATCCTGAAAACAAAAGCTGGAACTAAAAATATGCAATCCCATTGATGCGCTATTTTTCTCCCTGTACAGGAGAAATTGTTTGCATCCTGAGCTGTTGCTTTTTGGGTTGGGATAATTTGTTCATAGAGGTAGGGGCAGGAGTATGTGCATGTAGTAAATTTCCCACCCCTACCCCCCCCCCTTTCTTTTTTTTATGGATAAACATAAAGGCAACTGAAAGACTGAAGGACATGTGTAAGAATATTTCTATTGGCAGAGATTACTGACACATTGCAGAGCTGGATATTTTACAATGTTTGTTCAAACCAGTTCAGCCCTGGTGTGAACTGACTTCACAGACAGGGACAGGACTGTACCCCAATTGGGGAAGAGCTACCTCCACTCAGGTTCAGAGCACTAGGGATATACGTCTCGAAAAGACTTTAGAAATACCTGCTGTAAACTGCCAAAGACAATTCTCTGGGATACGTAAGAACTGTTCCTTCCTAAGCACTTGACTGGCAGCACACAAGACAGTAAACTGCCCATGAAAACATCATGGACGTGGGGTGCAGGGGAGCAAGTGGCATTTTGAAGGGGATGTATGGCTCCTGTATAGCTAAAATGATACTAATACCTTTTTACAGACATGGGAGTAAGCACAGGACTTGGATTTAGGATGATCTGGCCTCCTAGTCCTCCTAAATGTTGCAGCAGGATAGGAGAAGGTATAGAGACAGTGAGAGCCTGAAAGTGCATTAAAATACCATTCAGATGTGTAACGGGATCACAAGAGGTATCAAGGTTGCACAAAGAAACAAGATCCAAACAGGGGCTAATCCAATATTGTAGCAAAAACCTGACAAAGTGTTTCTCTTAAGATATTAACAACGAAATATTAATTAAGAAGAAATATCTTGACGGGACAGTTAAAGGAGATTTAAGCCAGTACAAATTATTTAAGCATTAATGATGAAATGCTGTTAGGAATAGGAGAGTTAAATATGCAGAAGCTGCAGTGAGGAGCCGTAGAGGAGACAAGACTTACAGACCCCTTTTCCCTAGAGTTTTGGGCTGGGAAGGGGCCTCCACTCCCTACATGAGTGACTGGGGAGTGGTGAGTGCTTTCCAAATTAAATGCTAAACTAAGTCCCCTGAAAAGTGGGGGCCTCAGGTAGCACAGGAGGTCTAGCAGGACCAGCCTGAGTAAAGGAGAAAGGAACTTTGCGTGCCTAGAAATGCTGAGGAACAAGCCTTCAGACAAACCTTCACCCCTCCATAACCTACCCCCCACCAACCCAACCCCAGCCCCCATCTCTTCCCGAGTTATTCATGTCCAACAAGGCGAAAAGGTTCTGTTTGGCTGTGGCTCAGCAGATTACCACTACATTTAATAGCTGTTTTTGGTATGATGCCGTTCACCTTATCTCCTTTCTCCTTTGACTCGGCCTTTGAACACTAATCCACCTTCTAGTGCAGCCTGCACCCTGCTTGATCTTTGTGTGCCATGAATGCTTACGGTTCCAAGGATTTTAGGAGTGGTGTCTTTGCTGCTTGGGTCCATGCTGTTGCAGCACTGAAGACACGTGGATCTGCTAGCTCACATTGCTTACTCCTGGGTTTACCCATGTAATGAATCAGTTTTCCTTCCAAGAGCCAAGTTCTGATCTCAAGCTTTGATTCAGACCCTTTTTCTTTTTCTTTTTCTTTTTCTTTTTCTTTTTCTTTTTCTTTTTCTTTTTCTTTTTCTTTTTCTTTTTCTTTTTCTTTTTCTTTTTTTATTTTTCTTCATATATATTTATTTGCAGGGCAGTGCAGTACCTGGAAGGACTAGACAGCATGAAAGTCTTTCCATGAATAGCCCAAACACATACATATTTACTTTCCCCTTGCACATACACACACACACAGAGGAGCAGAGTTCAACAGCCTAGTTCTACCAGTGTTTAAAGCCATTTGGCCCCTTTTAAGCCTTTAAATAAAATCTGTTGTGTGCATGTGTAGTTGGTTTTTTTCCTTTGCCCCACTTCTTAGGAAGGAAAGCAAATGTTTCTGGCACTCTGCTGCTGGATTGCTTGCATATTTGCTTGAGGAAAAAAAATTATAAAAGATGTTTGGCATAGTTTTCATTCAAAAAGGAATCCAGTGCCAGATCCAAGCATTGAAAACAAATGTGTGGCTTAACTGTCATTTACTCCAGGATCATGGGAACGGCTGCCTGGTTTTCCAAATGAGCAGCCGCTAGCTCTCCCGCCGTATATGAAGCACACTGACTTGACCAGCTTGATGCAGCTTGAACATCACTGCTGCGCCTCTGTGTGACAGCCCGAGTGCTGATGTCAGCACGGCCACGTCTCCACTGCCATCCGGGCTGACGAGCTGTCACACACTCTCTCTGGTGCTGGTGAGAAATCCTCCCCTCGCCTTTTGATGTGCTGTGAGGAGACAATGTGTATTTGTCCTAATAATGTGAAGTTTCAATGTGAATTGCTCCCCTGGCTGATGGCACTGATGAAGCGTCATCCTGGGGCTTCAGGCATTTGGCTGGCAAATTGTTCTGTGGGTGACATAAGTGATGAGAAACATTTGATGTCACCCAAATCCCCACCTCCCTGTGGTGCGCAGAAGCTCTCACAGCAGGTCAGGCCTTTGCTGCCATCACCACTGGTCCCAAGAAGCTCTGTGGTGACAGAGAAGAACCCTGACCCTGCGCACTACCCTCATCCCTAATATCCTCCTCAGCCTCTTGGAATAACACACATTTTATGGTGGAGGGGGAAGCTCACCCCAGTCCATATCTGAGGAGCAATGAAAGACGATCGTAGGGCATCTGAAACTGGCATGAAATGGCACCTTTCCTATCTTTATCTATAAAATGAGTCTAGGATCAGCTCAAAGCTCTGATCTTCAGGGTTAACCACATGGGTCCTGGCCCCACATTCCTAATGCAGCATTGCTCCCAGAGGTGCAGTCACAGAGGCACCTGGCCAGGTGCACCCTGCGGTTCAGTGTCTGTCTGCTATACTTTAATCAAAGAAGGTTGCTTTGGATTTCACCAGCATTTTTGTGAAAGGAATATTTGGTCTGCAAGGCATGCATGTAGTCCTCTGGCAGCCGTCAGCTCTGCTGTAATGCCCAGCTTTTACTGACTTATGTGCAGAACTCGGCAAGGACCTGAGCTCTTATCCAAGGGCAGTGAAGCAGGAGCTAGCTTTAGAGACGTGGTGATAAAATAGAAAATTATGTACAAAGTAAAAGGGTCAAACCCCTAATCTGAAGTGTTCTAGTCAGCTTGCCATGTTGGGTGTTCCTCCTAGATCAGAGATAACCCCATTTCCAAAGAGTTTGGGAGAAGTTGTTCAGCAGAGAGGAAAAAAAAACTAAAAAAAATAACCAAAAACAAAAAAATGCCCCCAACTCATAAAAACAAAAGCAGAGTCAGTGACTCCAGAAAACAGCTCTTAGCCTGTCTGTTCCAGTCTGAAATAAAGTCATCCCTCTTAATTCCCAGCGCATATTGTTCCTACCAAAGAGCAAAACCTTAGGAGGAAATCACATCAGTGAAGGCAACGCCAGCTCCTTTGTACTATTTTTCAACCCTGCCTTGGGAGCCAATAATCTGTCATCCCTTGAATAAACAAGCACCTTATCATATCACAAACATTTATTTAACCCTTTTCTCCTGAGCTTTTACCAGCCAAGCAAAGTGGCTGGGGAGGGGTGTGGGTAGCCCTATCCCTAGACTGCTCTGGCAGAAAGGACAAATTTCCTGTGTATTACACCCAATCTGTAAAGTGTCAGGCTGCCCTTCTTCAGCCTCCATGAAAAGCAGCAGCTTGAATCCCTGCATTTCACATAGCACAATCAAATTTTCCTGTCCCTCCACTGTTCCATCCCTCCCCCGGTACATTAACGCCTCCCTCCCTGGAGACATACTCTTGATTCCATCTGAGGGTCCATCCAAATGGAGACAGATTTAATTTCTTGGAGGTTAGGGGGAAAAGGGGGGTGGCAAGGAGAGTGTTTACATTTCTTCTTTTAACAAGAGACTGTGATGAACAGAGCTTTTGATTCCAAGTTGCAGAGGGCTTTTTTTTAAGAGATATTCTTTGACTCTGACATCATCAGAAAATGGAATCAGCGAAGTATGTGCATTTCCTCAGCTCCCACAATATCCATTTTCTCTCAGTGGATGTTTCTTGTTTTTCTTTTCCAGTGTTGCTCCCACACAATGGAGCCAATTTTTGTTCAGGACAAAGAAAATATAAACAGAGCGTGGATTTGGAATATGAGCAAGGCCTCCAAGCTTACAGAAATCTTCAGCCATGGGGAAGAGCCATGCTATGTTAACCATCTGCCAATAAAGCCTGGCTAACCAAGTGCCGGCCAGTGTCCCTAGTCACTTTGCTGGTGCCTCCAGAAGGCTGCAAATGCTGATGGGCAAGACTGGTGCTACCAATGAAATTCTTGATTTAGACTCTGTGGAGTCCCTGAGCATTTGAAGAGCATGCCTTGCAGGTGAGGTTGGCTGACCAAAGCATGTGGGCAGGCAAAGCCTTTTCTCCTCTCTACTGTAGGGTATCATAAACATTGAGTTAACCAGGCAAAGTCCAGCCATCAGAGGAGAATAACCCCACAGGGAAGAGAGTCTTTTACTCCCCTTCCCATAGGGCTTGGCACATTTACCCTCCTAGACATTTGTGAACTAGTACATGACATGAAAAAAAATATGCATTACTCTCCTCAGTGAGTCGTCTTCTAGCTTAAAACAAAGTGTTTTAAGCTGTTTTATTCCAGTCATGGAATAAAACTTGCTCTTCCAAACAAGTTAGGAAACACGTGACTTGAAAGGTAGATAGTATTTTAGGCACATTAGCTATGTTTGCTGCTTATGGGTAAACCACAGCTTGTAAAAGTGACCCCTCATGCAGCTCCCCAAGTGACCTGCTCACACTGACCAGGACATCAGCCAATCCCTGGAAGAGAAAGGCAGCTCACTGGGGGCTGCCAGACCCAAGCTCTGTGGTGTGCACCCTTGGGATAAGGCCAGAAGCAGGTCCCCAAGCAGCCAGGGCATCTGCATTCTCATGGGTGAGTCCCTGTGACAGCAAGTCACCCAGGTCTGCATAAATGACAGCACTAAGCTGTGACAAACTGATTTACACTAAAAGAGTTGATTTATGATGGGTGATATAAACCAACTGCAACAAGGGCCTCATATCTCTGGGCTCACTGACTGCAGCTCAGAAGCTGGTGAGAAATGCCCTGTGAAACATTTATCTAGATAAAATAATGTTTAGCCATCAGCAGATGGACTTCATTGACATCCTCTGAATCCATGGCCTGACACACCTCGTACTGAGCAACAGAGACACAAGCTGGCTTGTTAAGAGGCTGAAGTCTACAGACTAACCCTGCCCTCATCAAAATTACTAGGACTATGGTTCAGTTGGTCTACTCGGGATCTTCTCTGATATTATAAGCTTGTCTGCTGAGATCAACAGGTTGGCATGACAACCAACCCACGGGAAAAGGAATAAACATAAGCAATCAACAACTCAACTTCCAAAAGTTGCTTTTATTAACAGTATTGAAAGGGTGTCTTTTAACTCTTCCCATTGCCTAATAACTAGCCCGTCCTCATGAACTATTTGAAAGTTTTAGTTTTGCCTGGAAATTTTTGATTTAGATGCTTCCATTCATTAGCAAAATGAATACCCCTGCAGTCAAGCAAGACCCAGAGGAATCCTCAGCAAAGAGGGCAAACAAAAGCTTCACTTGGATGAAGCTGGATGATGCCTACAGAGTGGATCCAGAGGTTCCAAGGCTGTTTTCCATCATTTTAACACCATGACCATGGCAGCATTTAGATTCATCGCTGCTTTCAAGTCAGCTGGCCCAAATATCTGATTGGCAAATGCAAACACAGAGAAGAATTCTTAAAAAATATCCTGTGAGGTCACCAGATGACACCAAAAATCAATCCTAAAGAAAAGAAAGAAAGCCTAGGACGGAGTGAGGGTTTGGGCCTGGAGAAGAAATGGCAGAGAGAAGCTGCAGAAAGGTTGGGTGGAGTCTGTGAAAGCTGGGTTCTGCTCCTGAAATGCTGGCAATTTAAAGGAGAAATGTGCTTCTTTTTCTTTAGGAAGCTGCTCAGCCTCAAAACTCCGAAGTGGTTTGTGATCACTAAACACTGCAATAGAAACAGTTCCAGAGCCAAATTCATGCTTAGCAAAATGCGAATTAACTTAGCCTTATACTCTTAGGAATAGAGTCAGCACTTATCAGAAGCTGAAGACACGCATTGGCTTGTCAAAGTCCTTCCCCCACCTGCAGCAGGGAGAAGCCAGGGAAAAAGTTTTGATGCTAAAACGAAAGCAGAGGGAAGCGCCTGGCTGGCGGGCTGTGGTTTTGCTTCAATTCTCACAGCCGTGCCTGCAGAGCCCCAGGATACACAGCACGGCTTCTTGCAACCATAGGGAGAAAGGATAAATGGATTATTTTGGAGTGATATGCATGTAGAACTCATGCCACTGGAGAATGCAGCCAGGCTATTTTTAATGTACTGCTTCATTTTGCACCTGCTACCATTACAGAGTTGGTTTTGTTTCCATTAGAGCCACTTGTCTTAAGGAGTTTATAACTCCTATGAAATGTGTAGTTCTGGGCTAGATGCTCGTCCTTAGTTAAGGAACAACGATTTTTATCATTAAAAACCAAAAGGTTAGCATGATGGCATTAAGAGTGTATGGAGGGCAATTTTGAATAATTTTACGGGGTTTTCACAACTGTAATTCCTGAAGGTCAGTTTAATATAGCCTCCTTTATTCATACTGAAATGGAGAACACAAGTTACAAGGACCTGCCCCTAAGGAGCTTGCAAAACCAAAACTGCATGAAGAGTCATTCTCAACTACTTAATCAGCCACAATATTTCAATAAAATTATGAAATAAGAGATAAGAAACCTTGGCCCTTTTTCTCACTCCCACCCTGCAGAGGGCCAAGTGGAGCTCAGCATCTCTTTGAGAGGTAGGAGGCTGGTGCCTGGCGCGGAGCTGCATTGCCTTAGATCACACACTCCCAAATACCATCCCGGTGCAGTGCCGGGGAGGAAACTTGCATCAGCAGTTTGCCAGGGCCTGCAAGGAAAGCAGATGTAGAAACACCGTATTGTTTGCTGCTTGCCTTCTGCCACCATTTCCGACAAACATCAAAAGTGTTGCGGTTTAACTGTGCTCATATTGCAGCGTTATCCCACTGAGAACACCTGCAGGCACACCAAAGCCCCTAAGACCTGGATGTGGGCAGCCTTTCACGGTGTGTCCCCAGCTAATGCCAAGGTGAAGGCTCTGCACATGCTCCCTGCGGCCCAGTCCTCTGACACAAGTGTTCCTGTGTTCAAACAACAGCCATTTGAGCAGAGCTGTGCTCTCTCCACAAAGCATAGATAGCAGTAAGATGATTATTTGGAGGTGTTTTCTTCCTGTCACAGAAAGCTGGCAATCTGCTAAATGGCTTTGAGACATGGGATACTTTACATTGCTATACCAGCAATGATCAGTCTGAGGGCAATGGCCAGCACCTGCAAGTCATCTGCAGCACTGCAAAGCACCCACTAAACCTGTTGGATATCTGGGCTTTTCAGACTGGGTTCCCCAGAGACCCTTCTCAGCCTGAACCCTGGCAACCTTAACACCATTTGCCCACTTTCCTTTCTGTGTTCAATCTCTTGACCAGGTCGTTTTGCAGTCATGATAACAATGGTGAAGGTCTTATATATCACCTCCATTATTATTAGTCCTTATGAAGTCTCCCCATCCCACACATTCTTCTGTAAAACCAGGAACCAGGGAAGGCATGAAGCAGGGTAACAGTTTGGAGAGGCTGCTCAGCCCTGCACCAATGTCGACCAACTTCAGAGGGGAATCACACCCTAGGTTCCCATGAAAACAAGGTCCGGAAGTGTTTTTTGCTCTGTGAGGCACAGAAGTCAGAAATACTGATGCAAAACTTCAGTGTTAAATATATTCAAGATGATTGGCCCAATGTCTTCATAAATCAAGCCAAATCCCTAAATCCAAAGTTTTCTGAATTGAAGTAATGGGTTTGGGTCCTTTATCTATATTCACTTGGTCAAGAAAAGTGCATTATTTCCCCCCTGAATATTAATTCAACTAATTCAGACCCCTAGACCAAATTTATTTTGACAGCCTTTGCATGCTTTTTCCTTGGCTTTCTGCAAATTTCTGACCAGCAGCTTTGCCGGCAGTCATCTCGCCTGGACCAGAAGCACATGTGCTTGACCAACTAATTGTAACTGTTTCTGTCAGGAAATCACAATTAATTACGCGGGCGATTGCAAGTTTGCACACATTTGAAGTTTGCAAACATTTCATCCAAAAAGTGTTAAGCTAACAAGATGCCATGGACGCCTGCCAAAAGGGGCTGCAGGCTGCACTCCCACTGTATCCTAGTAAGGGAATCCTCACACTGCAGCAGTCCCACTGGGAGGCTCAGACACGGGCCACTGAGTCCTTCTTATCACGGCTGCCTGCCAAATTCTTCTTAGGAATAAGTGTCACTTTGTGGTACCTCTATTTTCCTTCCCAATAAAATAATAATTTGGCAGTGCCTGAGATGATGATAGTAAATCAGTGTTAGACAGCAGAGGTTACCAATAAAATTCAACCTATTTATCAAGCCACGTCATTTAGCTATGTTAGCTGCAAGCGGGCGTAGGCTACTGTGCTCTTAAAGTAGTTTGTTTCAGAAAATGAAGTAGGTAATGTTCACATAAAAAGAGGGAAATGTGACCTCTTTTCGTCTCAGAAGGGAATTACTGAGGGCTGATCTGTCTCTGTTGTGTTAGCATTGCACACCGGGGCTGAACCACAGCTACCTTGCCTTCTGTATCAGTACGACCATCACCTGAACCAACTGCAGCCCACAGCAGATAAAGCAGACATCCATTTCTCTTTCTATTATAGCAACACACTTTGCACCCCCCTGACATGATCTGTTGCCCAGCACCCCGGGGCATTTCGAATCTTTGAGAATTTCAGGGACAAATCAGTATGGAGACCAGACAGTCCTGCCCAGGATCATCCTGCACATTTGCACTAGCAGCAAGTTTCTCTGTTGTGCTATTGAAGGACTGCAAGGATGAGTGTTCTCAAAGGTCTTGATCTCCATCTCCTTTCATCCTGCAGTGACATCCACCTGGTTGCTCCTGATCCCCCATCTCCATTGTGGAATCACAACACCATGATGAAGATCCTATTAAAATTAACACATCAAGTCTAAATAATATGTGAAATTCATCCGCTCTGTGTGGATTTTAGGGTGTAGGAAAGCATTATTTTCCTTGAATTTGGGATTACAATTTTATTAGGTATTCCCCCTCTTCTGGTTATATCTTTATTTCACTTTTCCTTGCATTTTCCCACTGTATTGGAGTGCTTTTCAAAGAGTGAACTTACAGGTTATC